ACCAACTTACAACAAGAAAAGCGAACAAACTTATTTCCCAAAATTCCAAACAATTTCTTTAAGACTCGGCTTGTTTTGAGACCTGAATACAAAACTCCTCACGCGCCACGAATGCTTGATTGTTGGGCCAATGCACTAAAAAGACAGAGTTATAAAAGAAATGTATCTTAACTTGCCATTTGCTTATGAAGACTTCAACTTTTCTTTCCTGCTGTGAAAACTTTTGATCATTGAATCGACTGTTCGTGTCCAAGTGACTTTAAACGTGTAACACTGTTAACAGCCCCCTCCGGTCTGCAGTGAAGCAGCATGGGAAACCTGTGCTCGTTCCCGCCACATCAGGACAGAAGCTTAGATAAAATCCTGCAGCTGTGCGTTAGTGTGTGTGTGTGTATGTGTGTGTGTGCTCTCTGACACTCAATGTTTGCAGAACACACTCACACGCAACACACACACACACACACACACAAGACTGAGCATGTACATCAGCGAGCCTGATGATCACTGGTTACAGCCSYGAGGCGATTGGCTGAGTTTCCACTATTATCATAGAGGAATTCCATAGAGGCTTACAGGATTTAGTGTGTGTGTGTGTATTCACACTGAGACCTCTGTGTGTTTTTCTTCTTATCTTTCTGGAAGATGTGTGTGCGAACATACTGCGACCTCTTGTTTGTCTTTGTTTTTGGCTGTTTGGAAGCAAGAAAGTGCACGTTTGTGTGTGTGTGTGTGTGTGTGTGTGTTTGTGTGTGTGTGTGTGTGTGTGTGTGTGTGTTTCTATGTTGGGGTTTCGTGTCTTTGTTCACTTTTCTGGATTCACCATTTTGGCATAGTTATCTGAAATGCCAGAAGTGATTCTCAGCGGAGCAAAAAAGCTAGTGACAGTGTGTGAGTCTGCAGAAAACACACACACACACACACACACACACACACACACACACACACACACACACAGAAAATATATTCTTTATATTCTAATATTCTTTTACCCTTTTCCTTTGACCTCCTCAAAAACCCTTGAGATGTGAGATTTTTGCTTACAAATTATATTTAATTACAGCCTATTAACATTTGAAACACTTGGAATTTTTTGTTGTCATTATAATACAAAATAAGAAACTTATAACTTAACATTTGCAGTTGGCTTATCAGAAAGTGGGATATTCACTGTCTTATATTAATGACTTATCAACACATATAATTTCTGTTTGTTTTGTTTTTTTACAATCTGGTAACCCAAAAGTTTTTCTCATTCTTGACCTTATGATTTAACACTTCCTTATATTTGATCTATAAAGCAGTAGTAAATGATTTATTACATGAATAAATACAGTATAAACAGTGAGTTATAATAGCGTGGTGCCTTTTTTCAGTTTGTTTGTGCTAAAGAAAATACAATAATCTTCATATTCTGTATTTTCAGCTGGTTGTGAATAGTGGGTTGATTTTTGATTAAACTTGAGTAACAACAGGCCAACTTTCTAGTCCCGGTTCCCACCACTTTCCTCTTCTCCACGGCCGATATGGGAATGTGGAGCTTTGTCTTTCCACGAGTCTCAGGAGAGGGATTGTTGACACGAGCGGTTGGAAACGCTGCGTGCAGCCCTCGTTTCCTCTCCTGCACCCAGCAATCTAGACATGACCAAGCCAGTTAATGGCTCCAGGTCTAGAGTGTGCAGGATTCCCCACAGAGCTGCCAGTACCAACACCTCGGCATGACTGCTGTGTGCTTTCACCCCCCTCGTCTCTGAGTGTGCGGAGACTTTTCCTCTCTGCTTTGGGGCGTCACTGTCTTTCCCAAAGATAACAGTGACAGCAGCGCCGCGAGAGGCTCAGCTCTGTCCGTACGAATGAAGACAAATATCTCCCAGCCTCCGGCCAGATGTGGCCCAGGCCCCAGTGACCTTCCCCTCTCTGTGTACACAAGCTGGATGCTGTCGGGATGGAAGGGATGGAACAGCAGCTTACATGTATCATGAGATTAACCTCCAAGTGCATGAGCTTCAGAGAGACAGCAGACACAGTGGATAGACCTCCGCCTGCAGCCGGCTGGACTCGTTGATTTCAGTGCATTTGAATGTGGGGGATTAAAATACGAGGCTCTTTTCGAACAGATGACGTTTGATATGAAACCAGCCACCATTTTTACATCGTCATTGATGACGCATCCTTCATTTCTGGGCCTAATTTGTTGCTTGGTGTTGCATTATTCTGATTCCTGATGATAACTGGTGAAATAAAGGCAACAACATGTCACATCAATGTGTTTTTAGCAGCGAAGGAGTTCGATATAAAAGGAGTTTTTCAGGTTGTGACCATGTAACTGAGGATATATTTTTACATTTATTTATTGTCACCTTCAGTATCCCATAGCCAGATTTGAATTACTTACATTACGTTGTAATGCATTGTACATTTTCTTTGATTCTTTATTTTGGATGCTCCGTTTACTGTTTAAGCAAACGTCAGAATCAAAGAGAAAAAGGTTAAATTCAAGATTCAACCGTTTGAACCAACATTCAATAATCACTCAAGCAGAAATCAATAAGAGAAGGAACATCTAGTAGAGAACAATATCAACTTGGACCGCAGCCACAATAGACCAGAATGCAGTGCGGCATCTTGAGATGCTTCATTTCCTTCACCAGACGACGCACTTTCTAAAAGTAGAATACTGTTTTCATTCTGTTTTTGACAGGTATGAAGACAAAACAATACAACACGCAAACAAAACCTCCGATATACCATTGTCACATTCAAACACAATTTAAACAGAAAACCAAATCCCTGAAGGTGCAACTCTTGCTTGGGGAGACTTGTTGATCAACCTCACTGACAATCAGCTCAATCCATGAAACGTCTCAAGGTTCTTATAGAAAAGAGAGATTAGGTCATATGAGCTCAAAAAAGTTGAAGTGGAATTCCAGCGACTTAGTATTTCTCTTACATAAAGTTGTGGGACTCAGAGGAGGCAGGTTTAAACCAAAAAAAAAGGGAATGGTCAGAATTAAACCAGCAGAGCCTGAGATAGCGTGACTTTTAGTCCCTAAGCTCCAACATCACTGGATCCTACATTTCCCACGATGCATATTGTCTTTCATTAGACCCCCTCACATCATTCTCACTCCCAGGCCTTTGCTTTTCAAAAGAAGATGAAACAGGTGTTGGGTATTAACTTAACTTAAGATGCAGCACTTGTCACACGTACTTCCTGATAAGATGAGATTTATTTTCATTACTTAGAATTCTGCTTTTAATGACACAAAATAATAACAGTTTCCTCGTTGAAGCTGCAAACCCCCCCCCGCATAACGCAATGGAGAGACGGGATAAAACGTGTCTTTATCGGGGAGAAGACTACAGTAGAGAACAGACATGTTTGTTAAAAGATAGTCACCATTAATACAGGCAATACTATAGTTCTAGTCACCTTTTTTCTCTTTTTCACTTCTAATTAATTGTATTTATTTTGATTATTATTATGGAATTACGTATAATAGTATATGCTTCTCCTCCAAGTAGTATGTTTTCTGTATTGTGTTGAATAAACAAAAAGTGCAAAGAAATCTTAAAGAAAGATAAATAGAAGCACATGATGCAATTTTTATGAAAAATGTTACAAACAAACCAGTTAGTGTTTCATCACAAGAAAACTTCTGCACCATGTCTTAGATTCTTTTTTACTTTTACTTGTAACATCCCTCGAACAACGTTGTTAGAGGGAGCCTGAGATCCAAGATGTTCATCCACAACGACTGCTTCTCTCTCACTGTTGGGCATCTAACAATAAAGAGGTTGAAAATAATGGCCCTAAATGCATCACAGATGAATGACGCAACAGTGTGCAGCTGCAGATGGATTCATTCATTTATTGATTTCCCTGTACTCAGTGTTGCTGCTCCCCCGCTGACTCTGGATCAGGTTTCTTGATGTTTCTGATCAGGGAAAACTTGGCACTCCTATTTTCTGATGTTGTGTTGGTGGGCCCAGCTGCGTGGACGCCTCACACACACACACACACACACACACACACACACACACACACACACTCAGTGTATAGCTGTTAGGTGGAGCTGGATGAGCTCATGCTCTGGGCTGTTTTTATGTTTCTTCCACCAGAATAAGATGAGAATATTTCAGCCTCCTCAGCTCTGTTGTGCCTCTGGGGTGTTACCGCTCCGTGCAGCCATTTACAGGCCGTTATGGATTTTGGAGCGGGGGTCTCAGTCTAATGTATTCTGGCGTTTTATTTTAACGCCTCTGATTCATTTGAACACTGAATAAGTCATAGTTGCAGAGGTCATCTGCTCAAATCCAGAGTTATCGCAGGAGAAGCTGAATATTCATGACGCTGATGTTCAAAGACTGCGTATCCTTCTTTTTTCTTCATGATCAATTCAGCTGCTTAAAATGCTCGGTGTGAGCTGCAGGCTCTTAATTTAAATGCATAATTCAAAATGCATAGGCAGAATAATGGGTCTTCTTATACAGGGAGGATAAATAAGTTTCTATTTAGATGCATGCTGCAGGGGGGAGCAGTATGGAAGAAGTTAAAGGGTCAGTTCACTGAAATCAATATATTCTGTGGTGTCTATAGACACGCAGGTTGTTTTAGTTTCATTAGTCAAGGTTTTAATTTCAATTTTCATTACAGAGGAAATATTCCCTTTTTAAAATTGTTCACAGTGAACCCTGAGGATTGAGAAGCGTAACAGGGACACGTGTAGCGAGAGATGCTGCCAGTAAGTTTTTGAATGTGATTTTTGAAAACTTAAATGTAGTCAAATGTCAGAAAATGGAAGTACTCAAAGTATAAGTACCTCAACATATTAAGTACAGTAAACTGCTTTTAATGCAGACATTACACAAGGCGATTTAGAGAAGGGGAAGGTCTCTGTGTTCTGCAGGGAAAGAGGTGATGTTCCGGTGACTAAAAACCTAACACAAGCCTTCAGTGACGCGCAGAGGGATCACGTGCTTCATAAGTAATCACGAGCAGAAGTGGATAAATGTATCTGTCATCATCTCCCGTCTGATCTGCACCTATGTGAGGCTGAAATGACCTCAGCTGCTGGATGCAGATTGAACAATGTAGCCAATGGATGGATGGCTGGTGTATGTGTGTGTGTGTACGTGTGTAGATGAGGATGATATATCTCGGCGCTAGGACCGTGGCTCTGTCGGTGCGCAAATCCCAGCAGAGAGGCAGCGCTCCGGTTGTTCGCGGAGAAGATAGACGCTGATCTGTCTGCAGCTGCCTGCGACTCAACGCATCCACCGGCGGGGAGGCTGCAGCACCTTCTGCCGCAGACGCACCTGAACCAGCCGGGCTCGCCTTCCAGAGCCCTCCGTATGGGCTCACCATGCGCAGGATACGGGCCAACGCCATCGCGATTCTGACCGTTGCGTGGATCCTGGGGACGTTTTATTACCTGTGGCAGGACAACAAGCCACAGTCGTCGTCGCCGTCGTCGCAGACCCGTGGCAGGGGGGGCCATGGGCAGAAGGTGGTCTCCGGTCGGCTGGAGATCCACCGGGACGACAGGACCATCCCGCTGATAGTGAGTGAGCGTGAGGGGGGGGCGATAAAGAGAGAGAAAGGGGGGAGTTTGTCGCTGGAGGCACCGAGCTGCAGGAGTGTGTGTGTTGCATGTTGATGTGCATATGTATGTGTGTGTGTGTGTGAAACCTTAGGGTGATGATGATGATGGTGGTGGTGAGGATGCACATCAGCTGGGTGTCACAGCAGGGGGTATGTTGCAGGACACGTATGGCTTTAACGCGCATCATAATCACCTCGTACCTCCCGCGGTTCTTCTTCCATTATTCTACAGGCTGTCTGCTTATGTTTTTGTCGGTGTTGCCACGAACCCGTGAGAACCTCAAGCACTCACGTAAGAGGCTTTCCATAAGTCCAGTGCGTCAGTGCGCAAACGCCTCGTAAACCCCGCTATATGCTGAGAGCTTTCTTGCATTGCACGTGTGAGGTGTAAAAACAGGGGCTTTTTCTTTTTTTTTTTTCCAGCTCGGACAGGGCACGAGAGGAGGCGTCCTCTGCTCCCCGGTCTGTCATTAAAGGCCTGTTTCTGTCAGGTCTGTATCCGCCCGCTGTTGCCTTCTCCAGGGCGGAGCGGTGAAAAGCACCTCTGGTAAATGTTGTAACTGGAGGTGTGTTGGTCGTCAGGCTCGGCTGGCAGTAATCCTGCCAGGTTGCAACACAGCACATAGACACACAGTCTGTGTGTGTGTGCGTGCGTGTGTGTATCTGGGTCCACGCCAGCTCAGATTAGGAGATCTGGTCTACCTGGCTGCAGGGTTTTCTGATGCATTACGTGGAAAGAGATACCGGACTTGTAGCTTTTAGTCATTTAGATGAAGTGAAGAAGACCCCTGTGCTGACAGATAATCGATTTGTTCTTGGACAGACAGTCAACATTGATTTAAGTCATTTATCAAGCAGAAATTGAAGTTTTCTTTCTGGTTTCGGCTTCTCAAATGTGAGGATTTGCTGCTTTTTTGCTGTTTCATATCGTTTTTTTTTATTGAATATGTGCAGTTGGACAGTTGGACCATATTTTTCACATTTTCAAAATTGACAAAATTATCGAAATGCTTATGTCTGCATTAACTGAACAACCAATAATGAACACAACAGTTAGTGGGAGCCTTACTATAAACTATGGCTGCAACAAGCGATCATTTTCATTATCGATGAATAGTTTTGTCAATAAGATGTCGTGTAAAATGTCTGTTATAGTGTCCCACAGCTCAAGGTGATGTGTTGTAGTTTTATTCAACGACTGGAACAAAAATCAAATAAATGGATACGTTTATTGTGACATATGACAAACAAAGCATCACATCCTCACATTGGAGAAGAACCAGTGTGTTTGGCCATTTTTGTTGCTTGATCGATTAATCATAGAATTGTTTCAGTTGTCGAATAAACCTTACATATTTTACCTTTTGAATCCAACTTTTCAGCCGGATATAAATCTGTGAGACAGAGAGCGTCATTGGATGTAAAAGTGAGAGTAACGCCAATTAAAATTCTATGAGAATAGGAGATAATTTAGTAAAAAACATGAATCAATTCTTCGCTGTTTTCCTTCTGCTGCAACAAAGTTGACGGGCAAATCAATTAGATATCCAATAGGAGACTCTTGCGGAAGCACAACACACTGGTGCCTCTTTCTCAGTTTACGAGACCAATAACATATCTCAGCTGTGGCCGAGGACGTGTGTCAACGTGTCAGGATGTTTCAGTGGAGTCATTAAAACGCTGTTCACAGGATTTAATAATTCAAGGGTTAAAACCAAACGGTGGAGCTGCTGCGGTATTTAAGCTGGAAGACGCAGTCGGAACGGATGCCAACAATATGATCAGAAGATGCATACAAATGTGGAAGCACTTTGAATAATCAGAGTGTATCATCTCTGCTGGTGAGCCGCAAACAGACACGACTTCTAATCAGATCGTTCTTTGAACTGTGCACTTTGGACTCGAGTGTTTCCAAGTTGAGCTTTTTTTTTTCTTGTGATTTGCTCGGCGGGGTCGTTGACCTTCGTCACCTAACTGAGATTTCCTGGCTGTAGTTTGTTCTGGTAATCTGAACCTGCAGCTCTCCGGCTGCCAGCTCGGCACAGAGTCCAACAGTTTGGACAAGAGGAGGCTGGTACACAAAGACTAGCAACTGAAGGCTTCATGAAGGACTCTACTTCTGTCCGGTCTTTTCTTCTTCTGTCTCTCTATGTCCTTTGTTTCTTTTTCTTTTTCTATCTTTCCATCTTCCTATCCTTTCTTTATTCCTTCTTTCCATTGTCCTCCTCTTTGTTCTCTTTCTTTCTTTCTTTTGTCATTCTGTCCTCCCTCATCTCCTCTTTCCTTCATCCTTTTTCCCTTTATCTTTTCCTTCTGTCTGTCCCTCTTTGTTTGTCTTTTCTTCTGTATTTCTGATTTCCTTCTTCCTCCTTTATGTCTTCCTTTTGCCCCTCTGTCCTTACATTGTCTTTTCCCCTGTTCTTTCCTTTTTCCTTCCATCCATGCGCATTGCGTTCTTTTTTTTCATTAAACCATCTGTCCTTTTCCCTTCCTTTACTCTTTCATTTCCCTCTGCCCTTTCATTCTTTCTTTCTCTTTGTTTTTTTATTTTTCCTCTATCATTCTGTCCTTCCCATTCCTTTCCATCCTCATCTTCTTCATTGATTTTCTTCTCTCTGTCTCCGTCCCTTGTTTTGTCCCTCCCTTCTCTCTTTTTGTTCTTTTTTTCTTTCCTTAATTTCCTCACAGTCTGCCCTTCCCTCGCTCCCCCTTTCTCCCTGTCTCTTCTCTCTCTCCCTCCTTCTTTTCCCAAAAGCCCGTTCATTAGCAGCATTTGATTCACTAATGACATCATCTGTGAAATCTGCTTGCACTGGCTCCCCGTTTTCCCCCTCATTTCCTGCGCTGAGTGGTCTAATTTCTCCACCACAGCTCTTTCAGCCTCTTTCTCTGCAGTAACAGAGTGAGCGTGAACACTTTTGTCAGTCGGACTCTATATCGGTCTCTCTGATCTGCACATCTGCTGTCATGGCTCTCACTACATCAGCTGTGGACACGTCATAAACACCGGACCACAGATCCTCGTCCAGCTAATCAGGTTGTCAGGTTGTAGAAATCCTGCCCTGGTTTTTCCAGGACAGATACAACTTACTGTGAAGGTTATACATTAATTTTGGGATCTATTGTTTGCATTCACGTCTTGAGATCTGGGTGTGACTGCTGGTTTTATTGCTCAAACTGTTTTTCTGACTAACTCTGCAACAATTTTTGAATCAACACGACATGACAATATACGCACTTGGAGAATTGGGTTAAATGTGCCGTAACAATCGTGTCTGAACAAGGATTAGCTCAGCGATACAGTCATATATGAACAATGTATTAAACCTCCTCATTGGAGGAGCGTTGGCATGGTAACTTTGTTGTACCCAAACACATCATTCCTCTCAGTCATTTAAGCTCTGATTATTATGAGTTTTTAATTATTTTAATGCAATAATCATGTTTATTTGGCATCAAGTCTTTATGTCCTCTAGTTTAGAAAATAGAAACAGTGATGGAAGGATTGTTCAGATCCTTTAACAAGTAAAAGTACACAACTTAAACATACTCCAGAAAGTAAAAGTACTGCATTCATTAAAGTATGATCAGCAGAATGTACTTAAAGTACACATATCCAAGCGTATCTTTGTTTTTCTACTTTGTTATCTTAGAATGGACTCTTTAATGCATTGATGTGTTTCAAGGAGGAGATCTGTAAATACTGTCCCGGTAGTTGCTTTGAAGTTTAGTGGAATGAAAGTAGAGATTGAAAGACTAACATGCAGTTTTTTTCCACTTAAGAGGAAATATAACACATTGTTTTCCATTGAAGTTATTAATGTGTTTGTGTCTTATTAATGTTAGCTGTTGGTTTGCCAAACAACACATTTAAAAGCTTGTGAATGAAAGTGTCTATTTGCACACATTACTACAGTAACTGTGGCATGAGATATATAAGTCTATGAATCATTAATAGGACTCAGAGCCACAGCAGGGCTTCTTCTCCAGCCTATCGGGTAGATTTGACTTGTACGTGATTTCTCTTTTAATTCTGCGTGAAGGAGCCAGCAGACGTGTTCATCTTCCAGACGAGCTTCATATTTAATTCAGTGGGCCGAGCCTCGACGTGCTTTTTGTAATGTTTCTCATATTATTCTTGGAGTGTCATATTTTTTTTTTGTAGCTTTAAATATTTAGTCATGATGATACTTGCGGATTACCGAGGGATGTGAAGTACACGATTTTGGAAAGAGAGTCCTAACTATGAATAGCAGTGAAAACCTCAAATGGCTGGTGTGAGTGGCTGTGAGGAAATGTAGGTTATGGTGGAAAAAAACGACTTGTTTAATTGTGTTTACTGTTAATGATAATGTAAAGCTTGATGAGAGGAACTAATCACATAACTGCTAAACACTTCCTCTTCTTTAAAGGCTTCACAGTAGGACTCTGCTGCCTTAGTGCTCTTTGCTGCTGTCAGAAAAGATAAAACTGAAGTTAATACAGTGATAAATACACAGTGATACAGTGATAAATATAAGGCTGTACTGGTGACATGTGCAGGTGGTAAATTGATGGTGAAATGAGTTGTCTTTTGGTAATTTAACATTATAATTAGCCATTTTTTGCACGCAGAATATTTACGTCATTAGACATCTCTCTATATCTGAGTAGATGGAAAATTGTATTTCTTAATTGTACTTAAAGCTACAGTGTGTAGCATTTGGTGGCTCTATTGGTAGACATGGAATAAAGAATTATGTTTTCTTTAGTGAATAAGATACGGTTTATATCTGGGTCCTCGCAGCCATGTTTCTACAGTAGCACAGAAACAGACAAAAAACAAATTGGCGTTTTTTACATTTCCGTGTCTGCCACCCGAAACACTGCACCTTTCAGTGGAGAGGCTCTTGAAATAAACAGTGACGCCCAAGAAGCCTTATTTTAAGAAGTTAAGTGTAGCTCTTCTTTATTTGTTTAATTCCCAAGTCAACCTTAGCGTTAGACCAAGCATCTGCTGCTCCATCGGTTTGCACAGGGTGTTGTTGAGCCAAAAAGTAAAGTCACAAGGTGCTTCACAGGTGCACATAAAACACAAGAATGTCAGGAAATGGCCAAACTAAATATGAGAAAAACAACATGAAACCACTGGAATAATAAGCTTTATTTGTCTTTTAAATTCACGCATACCGCGGACGTGAGAAAGTGTCGACATCTGCTGCTTGTGATCATCACCATCCACCAACATGTTTAGCAATGCATCTGACCAGTTTCTCTGTTATAAAGGACTGACGGAGCTGTCAAAAGAGAGACTTTCCTCTGCAGCAGTCTGCTGAACATCAACTGCTATTTACAGAGCGGTGCTAATTAGATCTCTTTTCCCACACAGCACTGGGATCAGCTGGTCATGTAACTGTTATAAAAGTCACGGTCAATCTGTTTACACGTGTATGTTATCATGTGTTTATAATAGGATATATGAATATCCAATTATATATATAGTGGATTTTGAAATGCTTTGTGTGCCTGTCTCTTTAAGAAAACGCAACAGGAGATCTTAAAAATGTCTTTGTTTAAAGTGCTAATGTATGAAGCTAGTAGCTTGGGTGTTATGTTGCTAACACTGGGATTAAGTAGCCTAACCTTAACCTTTTTGTTCATGAATGAAGGCGTCTCTTAATCCTCCTTTACCAAAGAAATAGACGGCAAGTTTTTGTTGTACAAGTCAGGATGATTTAAACCTTTTACTGATTCTGTGATCTAAAATTGATGAGTGGAAAATTGGCATTAATATAAAGTACTGGTGCAGAATGACCCATTTCAGAAACATATATGTGATGTTGGATTATAATTATTGACGCATTCATCTGTCAATCACTTCAATGTTAAAGCTGGTCAATGTAGGGCAAAGTGTAACTATTTCATATGCTGTGAATTATCCCCAATAATATCGTATCTTAATCTATAACAATACATTACATCATCATTTATTTCTGATAATATTTTGTATTATTAATCTAAATCTAACCAGTAAATAAAGTTATCAAAGGTAGTGAAGTAAAAAGTACAACATTTGCCTCTAAAATGTTGTGGATTGGAAGTATAAAGTAGAAGAAAATGGGACTACTCAAGGGAAGTATCTCAAAATTGTACTTATTTACTTTCCACCAGTTGTGCAGGTAGTGTACAGTGAGTTAAGAGCTTTAGTCTGCGAAGGTAACACAGCGGTATCAGCATTGATCTTGCACTGCGGACATGTTTGTGTGTGAATCCTTGAAGCGTTCACGCTGCTTCCCCGGAGAGACTGAAAATGAGGTCACTCTCACCTGAACTTGGTCAGGAGCTTTTTATAAATCCTCCAGCTACACCGACCTTTAACAAAGCACCACAGAACGAAGAGTCACCCTTCATTTCTTTTTCTCTTTTCTCCTTTTCTATATTCCATCTGTCCATCTCACTGTTGCTTCTCTTTGATGGCAGCTATACTCTCATCTGCTTTCATTGATTCCTTGGCTGTTTTTACCTCCCACTTGCAGGGAGAATCCATTAATTACTGAGGATTTTATAGACTGTGTATTTAGTTTTGGTGAGTGGCCATCCCCTTTTTTGCCTCGTTAGCGCTGACACGGAGACCTGAATAAGAAAGTAGCATTTACATTTTAATGATTTCGGCTGATAATTTTCCTCAGACTTGGCTTAAACGTGAGCGCAATAGAGACACATGGTTTGATTCTCAGATGAGCAGTGTTGCAGCAGGATTGCAGTGCGGGCAGCAGCACAGCAGAGCAAAGGACTTGTTGTACATGGATTTAAGACATTTCAGACATTGCCTCAATATAGAGGTGGAACAATTTATTGGCTGTTGAGGCTCAGGAGGCAGAGTGAGTTATTCATTAATCTCAGGGTTGGCTTTTTGATTGCCAGCTCCTCTTGTCAACATGTCAAGGTGTCCTTGAGCAAGACATTAAACCCCAAAGGCCAGGCCAGCACTTTGGTATGTGTGTGGGAAGGAGAGTAAAAAAAAAGGCGGAAAAGCTCTATGTTAGTCCAGTTACCATTAATCATTTAGTTGATCAACAGGAATTTTATCAGCAACAATTTTGATAATCTGTTAATCGCTTGAGTCATTGATCAAGAACAAACACCAAACATTTGATAGCTTCTTGTGTTTTGCAACAATATTCATTGAACATCTTTGTGGAGCGTGAAAGCTCATTTTAGACACTAGAACCAGAGTATGTTTGACATTTTTGCTTGTAAAATCGCATGAACTATCAAAATAGTGGAAGATTAATTTTCCCTCGAATGAATTGTTTAAGCTGTAGAAGTTTAAATTAAAAAACAATCTTAACTCAAGGACCCACTTACTAGCTTTACACGGGGCTTCGCACCACATCTCACATTCTTCAGTCTGATATCATTAGATCTTTGATTATTAGTAAAACAAAACAAGCAGTTTGAAGACGTCAGCTCGGGCTCCTGGAAAAGCTGATGTGCTTTTTTTTATAAACTAAACGTTTACTGAAAATAGATGATCAAGAGATTAATCAATGATGAAAACAATCATTGGATGCAAAGAAGATGTATTAGTAGCACAACAGTTTCATTAACTATCATGGTTGAACAATAGTTGTGTTTCTACTTAATTGGTCTTGTTTTATTTGCTGAGAAATATTTTTGACTCGAAGATGAAATATGAAATTTATTCAAAACTAACAGCGAAATTTAAAAAAAACGAAATGCTGTCTGACAGTTATATGACAGATAGAACATCACATAAAGATATCCCTTTATGATAACGAGGATGCAGACATGACAATAGATGTGGCAGAAGAAGAATCTGTTGCGAAGTGAGGGAGTGGAGTGTTGACACCAAAAACAATTCATGCTGCTGTGTTTGCACTTCTGCGTGTTTACATGAGCAACAGGGAGTGTATTTGCATTTGTATGTCATTTAATCCCACATTCTATAATCATTTATTCTTTTTTTTGACTTGAATTTCTGTCATTTATTTCCAGTAAGACATTGCTTTCAATGTGTCTCCTTGTTGTTCTGGCGGAAATGAACACGTAAACACACCTTGTTGTGTCCTCTGCAGGTGACCCAGCCCCCGCGGCCCGAGCAGCAGGGCCAGCTGCTGGGCGGCTTCGATGAGAAGGCTTACCTGGCGGGGAAGCAGCTGAAGCCGGGGGACGACCCCTACAGAGAACACGCGTTCAACCTGCAGGAGAGTGACCGGCTGGGCAGCGAGCGAGCCATCAGGGACACCCGACACTACAGGTGAGCAGGGTTAATGACGTCTGTCTGCTTTGATCCGCACGAGGAGATTGAGGACTAATCTGGCTTGAGCTGCACATGGGTTTTGAGTTGTTTGGAAAAAAAACAATCACATGTTTTTGTTTCTGCCTGTTCCATCTAATAGAATCCCGTTAGCCAGCTCCTGGTGCTATTGGAAGACAGTAATGGGAACACAGCATTAGCCAGACCTGAGCGTCCAGACTGCTGGGTTCACTCCAGGCTGTATCCATCAGACACAGCGGGTGGACAAAATAACATAAACACGTGCTTTGATTTCAAGATACAGATACCAAGAGGCTTATGTTTAAGAACTGCTTCTCTGCCCGGTTTTCGACAACTGGTGATGAAATTACTTCCTGACATGTTGAGAAAAGATGTTATGATAGACGTGTCTTTGGTGATCTAAAAGAGATTAGGGTTTCTGAGAGATTTGGATGAAGACACAGACTTTAAACGCCAACAATGACCACGTTTTCAGCTTACAGATTTAACCTTTTCACAGTTTGTTTTCAGTTCATGAAAGTTCATTGTAACCTTCATGGCCGCCCAAAATACCTTATTCAGCCTCGGTTGTATTTAGTCTCCAACCTCTCGTGTCACTTTCTGGCTGCAAAACAAAACCAAGACGAACTCGAAGCTTCAAAAATATCATAAAGCGACATCCACTTATACAATCTGTGCTTCTGGCCCATGCTTAAAGCTCCCAGGTAGCAGAATGAAGTAAGGAATCAGAAGTCTGTGCAATTGTTGCTTGGCAACGAAACATTTCCATATCACTACAGCAACGAGGCTGAGGCGGGCTCCGCGGGGCACCGCTGCTAATCACAGCTGTGTTTAAAGACGTACATGTGATTTCTTTAGAGAGAGGTAAGCCTTCTCTTGCTGTGTGATCGATGTGTGATACGTTCTTCTCTCTGTAGGTGCGCCTCTCTGAATTATGACACAGACCTTCCCTCCACGAGCATCATCATCACGTTCCACAATGAGGCTCGCTCTACTCTCCTTCGCACCATCAAAAGGTAACGAGGTCAAACACAAGAAAAAGCCAAAGAACGACGGCATTGAGTCGTGGCTTTCTGATCTCCAGCTCTCTTTTTCTCCCTCCCAGCGTCCTGATGCGAAGTCCTCCATCGCTGATCCAAGAAATAATCTTGATCGATGACTTCAGCTCTGACCGTAAGTTTCTTTTCTTTTCTTTTTTGGTCAAACTGGTGTAGCTGCCTTTGAGCAAACTGAGGTTTTGTCCACTGTTATATCGTTTCTGTGAATTTCAGGAGTACAAATTTTACATTTACACAAATTACATATGATTCTTACTTTTTACATAATTTAACAGTGGATCAGATGATTACTTCTGGGCCTTTGTGAACGGTGATGAACCCACAGAGATTTATCCACTGACTCAGCAGCCCTCGCTTTACTCAATGTTTTAGTGTCTTTCCGTTCATTATTTGGGTTTTATGACAACTTCATTGTTGTTGTTTACTCTCGCTGCTCTCATTAGCGTCACTTTCAGCCGCAGCAGGCAGCTTTTTCCAGTGAAATACTCTGCAAATCGCACTGTATGCTACCTGCTCAGCAGGTAAAGTCAGACAGACAAAGATAGATGGTGAACATAGCGGAGCATTTAGCAGCTAAAGAGACAGATATTTCCTCAGGATTAAAATAAGAGTGTGTGTGCTGCACATAAATGTTTCAATGAACGAGTAGTCCAAAATAATAGGAAACTGTAGGGCGAGCATAATGTCAAGAGACAGGACTGGCTTTGAAGATGAGTCACACTGACGTCTGATATCACAGAAAATCAGAAATCGGGAGGTGAGAGCTTCTTCAGGATTTTGTCACTTATTATGTAACTGATCAGTGATGCTGCTGAGGGGATAAAATACATCAGCAACAAAGCTATAGGAGGAATGAGCTGGAGCTTTCCCACCATATGTAAAAAGTGAATTAGTGGTCTAATTGACCTTGATATTGGGAAAACAAATCAGTTAATAGCAGAATAAAGTGCGGGTTATGTTTTTATGTAGCTGACCAGGACGGTGGATTTAGAGGATAACCACATGTCTAGTAATTATTCCCCGTTGTCAGCATTAGGCAGAAGAATGATATGAGCTCATGCTTCACACTGTCCACAGCGCTTTCTGTAATGACCACCACATGCATCTTCTGTCTGTGGGAACTGCATGGTGACCTACATTCACTGTGCACTCAAGCACTGACACACACACACACACACACACACACACACACATTGACTCTGAGGTGTCAGAGCTGGCCAGACATCTTAACAGTAGTGTCTCAGCGTCAGTAGCAGCGGGAGCTCTATTAGCTCACTAATGCCTTGTTTATTCCCACTCTGCTGCAGCCGGTTTACCTGAACCCACGTTGAACCGGCAGCATCATGGCGTTAGAGCCAACATGGCTGTCTGTTTCCTGTCCTTGAACAAGACTCTTAACCTCCTCCCAGTCATGGGTTTTATATTTTCAGCATTCGTTATCATATGGAGCCGTTTCAAACATAATTTCTTTCCGGTTTGTGGCTTCAGCCTCACTCTGACTGAACAAAATGAGCTCCCATTAGTCGACTGCTCTGCTCCCTCCAGCTCTTCTCTGCGGTCTCCCTGTGGCGCAACTTTCTAATGCTGCGTTTTATTTAATGTCTCAGTAATCCCTGCTAAGAAAAGTGAAATAAAACTGCTGTTTAAGTTGGGGTTTGAAGGCAGGAGGTCGAGCATGTTCTCAAAAACCTCAAATCACTACATGATGTTAACAGCTACATCTTATTTTCTTTGAGACTGCACACACAGTTGTGCCACCCAGATGTTGGCAAAATAGCTGAAATCATTAGAGAAATAAAACATGCTGGAGTAGGCTTTTTTATTTAAATATAAATTCATTTCAACTATAAACAAATGTTACTAGATTCTAAGATTATACATTGTAATGTATTTGTTTTCTGTTGTCCTCTTTTGAAGAATATTCTTGTATATTCAGACAAATAACTAGCCAGAGATAATAGCACAAATAGATCTATTTAAGTCAGGGAGTTAGAGAGTCAGCTGAGGCAGTGAGAGTGTGAGCTCATTGGTCAGAATGCGATCCGGCAGGCAGACGGCCGGAGGAGGTGTTGGAGGATGTTGGTCAGCAGGCAGCGAGCGCGTGTAATCCCATTAATTAAGGCTTGCCTTAATGATAAGGGCACAGTCCTCAGTTTAGTACAGTGATCTTTACTGTGAGTCCGGACGACAGCATGTGACTCATGCAACGAGACAAGAATATACACCCCGTGCTCGTGTAACAGTAACGTGCTCTATTTTGGCTGTTGGTGTACAAGAAATGAATGGTCTTTACAGTGTTGTACTGAAAGGAGTGAGGCACATAGTGAGGCACAAATCACACCAGTCATCAGTTTTTTTTTTTGGTTGAGAGAAGCTCTTTTATTTCTATTGTGCACTGCATTTTGGGACAGGAGCTCCCATTGACCAAAAAGAGTCCGACATTTTAAATTTCACTTAATTTAGTCATTTTCCCTGCGTTAAAATAGGTCATATTCAAAACATGGATAACTGTAGCACACAGTATGCAGTTGCATGCATGTAACTGTATAATGTATGCAAGCTCACACACACACACGCACACACACACCCAATCTGGCAACAAGTATACAACATCTGCTCAGTGGGTGTGATCTATGACTTTGTGCTCATCTTCCCTGAGTCCTTAAATCCTCACTCCACACACACACACACACACACACACACACAGACCAGCTGTCCCCTCCTTATGAGCACCACTAAAGAACTTATACACGCCTGCTCTCAAAACACACGTCCGATGTGATACAACAGCTTAAATGAAAACAAACACATTTGTACACACAGCCAATTAAATCAATTCATCATGCTTGAGCATACGGCTGTATCAGGGGGGGGGGGATCTACCCACAATCCCTCAGCAAGGTCACACATACTCTCTGCTGCTAAAGCTAATCCTCTCAAGGATGCGTGTGTGTGTTTGTGTTTGTGTATCTGTATTTGTGTGTTTGTAATGATGTCCATCCGTGTGCATCAACAAAAGGTCTGCGCCCGAGATTGCTCATGTAGAAAAAGGGAGTGGACGATGGGAATCAGCTGCTCGCTGGATTTGTTTATGGAAAAGGGATTTTGAATTTGATTATCCAGTGAAATGAAACTGTTTTGTTTGAGCACTCAGTCACTCTGAACTGCTTTTTGAGTTTACGTGTTCCTGATTATTTTCAGGACTGTGATGGACCACTGATGGATGTTGTGTTTGAATGTGTTCAGGTCATGTTTTACTGAGGGTGTGTATCTGCGATGAGGAGGTATGTGTTTCTCAGTGTGTGTTCTGCTGTTCCACCATAACGTCCCATCTCCTCTGCTCTCCTCCTCCAGCTGAGGACTGCCAGCTGCTCTCTCAGATCCCCAAAGTGCGCTGCCTGAGAAACGGCAGGAGAGAGGGTGAGTGTGGAGGGACGGGGGGGGGGGGAGAGACTGCGGGCTTAAATGTGCTGTATGTGGTATGTTTTTTAACCCGTCCAAGTTATCTTCAATAACGAAAAAAATGAAAGTCATGTTTATTAGTACAGCACCTTTTAAAAACAGAGGCAACTCAAACGGATTTACATAATGCAAATGAATGCATTAGAACTACATTTAAAAAACAATATGAGGAGGAAAATAAAATGATTCATCTTTAATTAAATCAATTAAAGGTGCTAAATTCCAAATTCAGAGCATATCTATGATTGAGGGACGCTTCCACGCGGAATAATTCTGTGGCAACTAACAATCATTACTCTTATTCTTTTTTTTGACTTATCAATTAATTGTCTAGTAGTTAATACGTAAAAGAATAGTGAACAATAACCATCACAAGTACTAAGAGCCCATTCTGTGTGAACATAACCCCAAACTATTAAATTCACAATTAAATGAAAACGAGAAAAGACAAATATAATCACACTTTAGAAGCCTTAGAAGTCATTCTTGCTTGATAAATAGATTTAGATTTATGTTGATGTCAATCAATCAATCAATCAATCAGTTGTCTAATAATTTCAGCTCTACACATAACTGAGCCAGACTAACTATCAGAGCCATAATCTACACTAAAGAACCTCTTTGTGCACCTGTTACTTCCTGTGGACGGATGCATAGAGCTGACATGAGAAAGTCACTTGGACATCAACTCTACATCATTTTTTTCCGTTTCATCCTGATATTCAAAACCACGAAATGTTAAAAAAACTGTATAAAAACATGAAATCATTGTTTGTTTCATCGCCCACGTGATTCTGATTTGAATGAAGTTAATCCTGGAATTAGATTAAATCCTCGACCTTCAAAGCAAGAAAGATCAGCCAAACTAAAAAGAGCCAACAGAGAGCCATGTTGCTGATTTGTTTGCGTGTCTTAAAAAGAATCCCTTTTACTCCGGTTGCTGCTTTCTTTGGGCTCACGAACCACACGCTGACAAAACATAAGCATATTGAATTTAGGCCAGCAGTTCCCTACTGGCAGCTGAGGTACACAAGTCGGAGTGAGCTCCAAATCCATGCCATCATGTCAGGAAACAATCTCTATTTCATTTTTAAACCGGATGACCCAACAAATACAGAGACTTTCAGCAGAAGAAAGCAATCCCTGTCAGTGACTTTTGATTGATTTTAAGACGTGATTCCCTCTTTACGCAGCTCTTAATGGTTTCACACCTTCAGGCATCATTGACTTTCTCTCCTTTAATGTGCCAAACTGCTGCCTGAGGTCATCAAGCACTGGAGCAGAAAATGTACCTACAATTACAACAAGCAAGCATAAGGAGGCAGGCTAATGTTGCTATAGATGAACTGTACACTGTAAACTGTAAAACGAAAAAGCAGTAAATGCTCACATTGGACTGGACACAGCTAAGTATAGAATAACAAACCCTCTCTGTAAGCGTAGCTACATGTTGACCCCTGACAATCTAACAAAGGCAAAATGTCCAAAGGAAAAATTAATCTTAAAAAAGAATACTCACATATATGCTCCCATAAATATGCTCCCGTACTCACCAGGCAAATGGAGTTTGTTTTAACCGAATCAAACGGGTTAAAGATGTTTGAGTCAGAACAGCCTTGTTACAAAGTGCACTTCTGAGGAATTTAATTTAAAAAACAAGTATGACTCATATTTCTATACAACAAAAATAAATCAATTATTTTTTCACCCCTGCTGATGCCGTGAGCTGCGCAAGCGGAGAACAAAAGAAATAGATGATTTAATCTGAGAAACATGAACTCCTCAGTGAGGTTTAATACAGGTAAACTTAAAAGGATCAAATAATGAACTGAAAGTTAGACTTCAAGGCTGCTTTTTTTTTTGCCTTTTAAAAAAAAAAACACAATTATCTTCACAAACAGCTTCACAAGTTTCTGTTATTTGAACGATCTCTGAATTTGGAACAAAACTCTTCAGATGATGAGATGCATCTGTTTAATTAACCGAAGATTTCGCAGGAAAAAAAAGACAATTAACCCCCTCCACACGTGTCTGCGCTAAATGCAAATTACTGGGATTGTAGACACACTTTTGATGAGGAAAGACACCTTTATTACTATTCCCCTCCTGCCTGTAGCAATTCTGTTCTTAACTTGGTTTGTTTTAAAATAGATTTGACTCTCGGCTCCACATTAACACTGTTTTTTTCTGACAAGCACTTTGTGTTTGGGGCTAAAAGCGAGACACATTCTGGCGTCTACTTCAGACTAACACAATTATCCAGCTCCGTTTCAAAAAGCTTTTGGTTGCACAGACTCTTTTCCACCTAACAAGGTCTTCAAATAGTTCAGAACTTAAAAGGGAAATTGACACTGATTAAAACTTTACTCTGCATTTCTGCACTGTGCTGTTTGCTAGTATAGGCCTCTAACTCGTTCAGTCAGAAAACTGATCAAACCGAGATAATGTGACACGTGAAAACCTTTTCAACGTGGTTTCAATAGAGTCTGACTACATTTAACAACATCATTTGTAAACATGAGTCACTTGTAGTCATTAATCAGCAGCTTTCTGTTTTGAAACGATGGCCATTAATAAAACAAGAAGAAACACGTTGAGAAAGAGGCAGCGAGGCATGTTTCACTGTCAACAGTTGCCTCAGTAGACTAGAATGCAACTTAGAAAACTTAAAAAAAAACTTTTGCAATCATTCTCTTCACCTATCTATGCAATCCATACCGGAAGCACATCTGTTCACTTGTAGCTTTTGCAAGGCATTGTGGGAAAACAAAGGAATTAAAGTAACATTTACTAAAGTAGAAGTAGACAAGGCGATGCAGAGAGAGCGAGTGCATTAATCAACTGTGTTAACAGTGGTAACAATGTTTTTCCTTTTAGAAATGGACTCCAGTCATTAAATATTAGTCTTCCATAAAGTTGAGGGACTTTCAAATGACGGTTAATAAAACTAACTGTAAAGAATGTATGCATCTGAGGTTGAAATATCCAGAATTCAAATACTAAGAAAACACATCCGACGTTAATAATAACTCAACAACTCAGTATTCTCCTCAAACTTGACAAAACAGAAGATGGAGGAGTAGAATCCTTGTCATTTTGATAAGTGAAGTAATGACATGTCAAATCAGTAGAGTCCACCTTCCATAGCGACCCATAAATGTGCTTTAGTTTCATGCTGGCACTCACTTCGCCACATTAGGCATCGAAATATTGAAGTCCCTACTTGCGGTGAAGCAGCATCCAATTTTCTCAAATTGGAAATATTGGACCGGTTTCAGACTTCCGTGTCATTTCCCCCCCCCCCCGCTCTCCCTCAGGTCTGATCCGATCACGTGTGCGTGGAGCCAACACGGCCTCGGCCTCCATCTTGACCTTCTTGGACAGCCACTGCGAGGTCAACGCTGATTGGCTGCAGCCGATGATCCAGAGAGTCAAGGAGGTACAGACCGTCAGGCGCACAGTCTGCCTTCATTCACACTCTCCAATTAGACACTCAAGACGTGCAGCTCACACACACATACACACACACACGCACACACACACAACACGTTTCTGAGGTGAACGGTTGTGTTTTGCGGCTGTGATATAAAGCTTCAGAGGATTTTGCTCTTTTTCTTGGTAGATTTGATTGGCTGCAATGTAATACGTTGGCAGCGCATATTGTTGAATAAACACTTAATTTGATTGAATTCAAACTATACCCGAAATCACACTCCACCTTGCCGCTGCTGGAAACATTATGTAGTCATATTCCCAACCAATCCGTTGTCTACTTGACTCCGGAGTGTTTTACGACATGAATTCAGTTGGTCTGGTTTGTGTTTTGATGCGGTGGTTTGTGTTGTGCGTTTCTTCTCGCTTCAGGCTGCATGTCAGATTCATTTCTAATCAAAAACAGTCTTTTTCTTTAATGCAGTGGGAAGAGTTTCCCCCTTTCACCGCATCCTACAAATTAGATTATGCAGCCCACCAGAGACACTACCATCACATTCATGCATGAATGTTTCACAATTCAAAAATGCGACCGGGATGAAATGCAAAACCAGACGCTTTTTATTATCAGGGGAATTTATTCATTTTTTTCTCCGTCATTTTTAGTATCAGTGGTATTTTCATGTGAACTTTCAAGGGCGTTTTGGCTTTGAGCCCTCACCGGTTCTGTCTGCTTTTCTCTATCAATTCAACAAAGTCACACAAGAAAAGCGCACACGGGGAATGTAAATAAATGATTAGAGACTCGTAAGCGTCTGCAGAGATGAGCGTGTGCACTCACCGAGACATGAGTGTCTGGTATTTTGATAAAGAGAGATGTAGCTGTGGAAACCTTCCTCACTTGCTAATGAGTAATAGGCTGTTTGTTGGCAGTGTCTTTCCTCCCCTGACATTATTAACCTGCGACTGGGCTCTAAGCAGCACAGCTGCTCTCCCAAATCCTCTGCCATCCACCATCGCAGGCAAACATTCCCACTGACTGTGCAACAGGAGCTTCGTCAGTTCTCCTCTCTCGTGTGCTCCCACTGAAGTCTGACTCTCGGAGAGAGCTGCTTCCATGTGTGCTTCAGTCTCTTGGTTTAAAGGAAGAGCTGCGTTTGTTTCAGCTGCCTCGATGTCTACAAGCTCTCTTCTACTTTTTCTCTTCTTCCTCCTCTGCTTTTTAGCAGCTTCTCCAATCCTCTCGATGCACAAAGAGTCATTGACATACATTAAAGGAATAGTTTGACATTTTAGGAAATACATTTATTCACTCTCTTGCCGAGAGTTTGCTGAGAAGATCTTTACCGCTCTGTCTGTACTGTAAATATATGCAGCTGCTTAGCTTAGCTTAGCATACAGACTGGAAACGGGGAAACTGCTAACATGGCTAAGAATAACAAAAATCCACCTACCGGTACTTCCAAAACTCACACTAATTAACACGTCAGTTGTTTAATCTGTACACAAGTTCAATTTACAGTTTCACAGGTTTATGTGTTTTTACACTTTTTTTGTGCTGACGGAAATAAAAAAAAGTGCTATTGCGTGTAAATTAGTAAGTGTTGGAGGTGCTGGTAGCTCTGTTTAGTTAACTTTGGACGGAGCCACGTTAGCTGTTTCCCCCAATTTCTCGCCTTTATGCTAAGCTACGCTAACTTTCTCCTGACTGGAGCTGTACTGAACCTTTACCCCACAACCATGAGAATAGTAACAATCTTCTCATCTAACCCTCAGCAAGAGAGTATCTCCCAAAATGTAGAATGATTCCTTTTAAAAGAGCAATAAATAAAGTATTTGTTCTTTGCTGTAGGACAAAACTCTGTTTGTTCAGAAAGTACACCAGACAAGAACCCAAACTGAAACGTTGCATGCAGCAAAACTGTACAATGTGTTATTCAGAAGACTCTGCACATTGTGAGTGTGTGCACATCGTGTTTGCGTTGCTGTACACTCATACTTGGCTCTGGGCGGCTGTGACTCATCCAGCTTGCATTACAATCTTTCAGTCTGGCATTCATGAGAGCGTAGGGCTCAGTGATAATTCACCAGCTCCTCGGCCCGGCTGCACCCGGTCCTGGATTCATCAGTCTTCCCGAGACCTCAGTTCTGGGTTCACGAAGGCCTCTGAGGGCAGGAACACTGATGAAGGATCACCGTCTATCTCCTTTTAATGCAACATAATGACACTTTTCATTTTTTAATTTAGAGCAGCAAATGAACCCACTTGAATGTAATTCGAAATGAAGTACTTATAATGAGCTCGCTGCTCATAAATGTACAGGGATTAGAGATTTAAGTTCAGTGAAAGATATAGCTTATAAGGCTGGGGTGACATTTAATACCTTCTTAAAAGTCATTACCTTTTTTAGACCATGGAGAATAATTGTAATGTGCCGGATGAATTTAGCTACAGCAGTTGTACACTTAACAATTGGATAATAATACATCATTCCTGGATGCCCCTCTCCCCTCTTTTTCTTGCCTTTCTTCACTGACCATAACTAATGACGTGGCCCCCAAACCTTTTTAAGTTGTGACTCCATAAATGTTTGATTTGTCTGTTTTATATGAATAATTTAAGAGTCCTGAAGAAGTAAAATGATCCAGTAATTGACATGAAAATGCAATGATTAGTAGAAAGTCTGAAAGCATAAACACAACTTTGTGTAGCAGAAGAAGACCCTTTTTTATATGTCGTTCCTCTCCTGTTAATCATCGTGCAATCCCTCTGCTCCTTCCTATTTATCTCTGGACCTGACGCCAGGCTGGGGACCATTTGTCTAAAACACCAGAAACAATTTGCATTTTAGCTCAGACACATTCATCAGAAATGGAACAGAAACAGCCTCATTGATTCAGTGAAATCCGGTGCCAAAATATTTATCTTTAAGTGAATTCTTTCTGTGGTTGAGATGGAGCTAAATTCAACTATTTTATATGAAGTTTGGTAGTTTTATCTAAAGCAAACAATCATATTTATGAGATCTCATATTGCATTCTTAATTACTCAAGAGAATACTTTCTGTGAAGTCAAAAGTACCACAAACAATGAGAGTTCCACACAGTGTATGAGCAATAAGCGTGTACAGTGACAACATGATTCAAGGCAAAAAAAAAAAAAAGAATTCTGGCTGGCTCTTGACCTTTTCGCCCAAGCTAGACAGTGCGTCCTCTGTTGGGCTCTTATTCAGAGACAGATGTGACATTACTCAGCGATGAAGCAAAGGAATAGAGGTCTACACTCGCCAAATGACATTTGAAAACTGAAATTCAGTGTGCACAAAACACGCTTCACTTCATCATGTCAATTATTTCACTTTTCCAAATTAGCATCCAGTAGAAGAATAAGCCTAAATTCCTTCATTGGCTACACTAAAAACAGCCAGATGTGAGGGACAAAATGACAGCACTCCGCAATAAATTCAAACACAGAACGAGAGAATAAAAAAAGAGTGGGAGAGGGTCGAAATATTGAGAGATCATCCATTTTGCAAGTGCAGCCTCTTCATGCATTTTCAAATCACAGATGCTCATTAAAAGCCCCATAAATGTCTATTGCTTAAAGCTGTTGAGAGCATCACTTTCCAAATTGCTCTCTGGCAGAGTGGCTTTTCACACCCGCTCCCTCCCTCCCACACACACACACACACACACACACACACACACACACACACACACACACACTCTTTGGTCCAATGAACACAAAGTTCACGACGGGTTCAACCTCTGAGCAAAGAGAGGGACGGCTCTAATTAGAGACAGCCAGTTGGATTGTCCCGATGCTAAGCTGCGCGACTACACGAACACTTTCAGATGCCTCATGGGCAAACAGCAGTGTTGGCACAGATGGATGTTCACAGACAGATGCAGATAACACTCACGCACAAACAAACACACACGCTATCAGCAGTCAACAGTTCTCTTGTGCTTTACTTTAAGGTTCATGTTACTTCCTCATCCGGAGGTAGTTTTAGCTTTTCAGAGTTTATTTGTCCGCTGCTGTGCGAAGAATCGCTTATGTTTACAATATAAGCAGCAAATTCAAAGTCCGCTTTGAGCTCACATGAATTTGTAAAGTGTTCTGTTCCAGTTCACTAGAAAGAGGGAGGCGGGCTGTAACCAGTAATCATCTCTTTTTATTAGAACAGGCAGTTAATCAATAAATAAACCTGTTTTTAGCCACATATTCCAGTTGGAGACTACTTCAGTGCCCCCACAGCACAATCTGACATTTAATACTCATTAGTGATATAGATTGATTTATTTTCTTGACATACACACAAAGAAAACTTCATTACTTTGCTAAACTTTCACTTGATCCTGAAAGAGATTCTCGTCTGAAACGTTTTTCAATAAAAAGTTGTGTTGTGTAATGGTTGTTTTTGAATGTTGTTCCTGTCAGTCTGAGACCAAAAGTCTGAGACCGAAATGTCTGTAACATTGGCCATCGGCCCCCACCTTTGCTCATTCTGTATAAGGAAAGCTTCTTCACTTTTTTTCTTGGTTCTTCCTCACTGAGACTGTACGCATTCTGTTGTGATGATTGAACCTTCTCTGCGCAGAGAATAAATACTTAAAAGACAACCTGGTTTTTGGTATTATGTATTTCAGCATTAAAAGACTCACGCAAAGCAGATATAGGATTTTTTTCCACCACAGTTGTTATCAACATTTATTAGTATTTACAGACTGCCTGTTAATGCTCAATAGAGGAGCTCAATTACAGTGTTGGGGTGAATCTTCACTGGACTCATGTTTCGATGACAATGCACTTGTCAACGATTATTTTTCATCAATTTATACAAGCAGTCTGAATAATCTGAACTCCCATTTTATTTAAAAAGTCCTTTAATAAAAAGTCCTGTAATATAAAAAGCTTCATCTCAACCTCACTACATTAAACATTACCAAAAATAAAACATGAATCCTTCTGTAGTGCATTACAAGTGTGCTGTAATCTATATATTGAGGTTCGTGGACTTTAGTTAGTTAGTTACTTTTCTTTACTCATAGCTAATTTGGTTGAAGTCAATGTCCCTCCTGACAGAACGACACGTTGGCTGAATTTCAGCCCAGCACTGTTGAAACAGAGCAGCTAATATTGGTAACGAGAGCGACAAGTTAGCAGACTTGGGAATAAACCTTCGAGATAAAAATCCACGCCTCTCCCTTTTTCCTGACATTTCCACCTCTTTGGCTTATATGCCTAATTAAAAACAAAACATGAAATGAGATGCTTCATGTCATTAAAATGTCTTTCTACAGGATTAGTTATCTTTGATTGAAGGGGTTTGACCTCTTTTCACTATTTCCCGTCTCCATGCACCTGCTTAGCAATTAACGTTGTGCCATAAATCCCTTCTCTGCATTCATCAGTTATTAAAAAGAGTCCCCGTCCTAATTATTCAGACACATAATGCTGTCGAGGTATTTACGCGACAATCTGCTTAACATAGAAATAATTGCTGTATCATGGATAAACGTGACTGTTTGATGTGGACAATCTCTCCACCACATCACCTATGTAACTTAAATGTAATGGATTATAATATATAAAACATGCATAAAACACTGACTTAAAACGGCATATAAGTTCAAACGTAGATGTTCAATCATGTCTCAATAATAATGTGTCCTTCTCCTCTCATGCAGGACCATACGCGAGTGGTCAGCCCCATCATTGATGTCATCAGCCTGGATAACTTTGCCTATTTGGCTGCTTCTGCTGACTTGAGAGGAGGTCAGGACACAGCACACAAATCATGTACAGTGACGGCTGATAGCACACAAGCTGCAGTCAAAGAAAACCCTTTTTGGAAACTCCCTCGTTGTATGACATCACGATGCCTTCCAGAATAATTCAAAACACATGATAGAAATTCCTGAATGGATTAGTAAAGTTTGCCAAGATGCAATGTTTTCATTGAAGCTAACTAAAAGGTTAAATCATGAAAGTTAGTTCAACTGAAATCTGCAAAATACTCTAATCTGTCTTCTCCTGTAGAATAAGTGTTTGTAACTGGATCTGACCTGTTGTGCTCTCTTTCTTTTCAGGATTTGACTGGAGTCTCCACTTCAAATGGGAGCAGATTCCAATCGAGCAGAAAATGGCGAGGAGCGACCCGACACAGGCAATCAGGTCTGTCGACACTGCTCGTCTTCATCCCTCTTCCTCTTCCTTTGTGCTGTTGGGATCCATAGAGCCTTTGGAAACGTTTCAGACCTGAACATTTCCTCATGAACATAATGTTGCGACACATGCTTGAATACAAAAAAATATATTTGTCTTCCTAGATGTTTTTTGTCTAGTGATACCCAAAATGGTTCAATTCTGGTTTTAAATGGTTAAAACTTCTCTTTTAACCATTTTAAAACCTTTTCTGCCTGTCTGCTCTATTCTGTCACGTAGGAACCTTTGTGGTGTCTCTTGTTTAAAGATTAAATTCCTTTGCCCATGGCAGGAAAAATAAGCTGCTGGCCCCCTTTTACTGTAACCCACTGTTCTTGTGTCTGGATGTTTTTCTACCCTAAAATACGATTCCCCAGTTTGCGAAATTGTAAAATGATGTAACACAAATTAATTTAGGAATACACAACATGTTAGCACAAATATCAAATCATAAAACTAGTATTTGACACAAGGACCCTCCACAAAACCACCTTGAGGCCTTTATTTTGTCAGTGGATGTTGTGCTTTACTTCCACACAAATGTTTAGTTGAATTAGCACAAAGCAGTTAACACACAGTCAGCCTGGAGCTCACACGGCCTGTGGAGTTGCACCCTTGGACAACTTATTATACATCTAACTATGAACTAAGAATGTGAGCTATAATGTAACTTCAATTGAAGCATGAAGTCTTCTCTGCAGAATTAGAAATCATCGTCATCACGCGATCCTATACAAACTTCCCAGACTCCTCTGGCTGCACTGAAAATGTCTCTCTGAATAAGAGAGTGAGTTACATGAAATGACTCCGCTCTACTCTGCAGGACTCCGGTCATCGCTGGTGGGATCTTCGTCATGGACAAGAGCTGGTTCAACCACCTGGGCCAGTATGACACCCACATGGACATCTGGGGAGGGGAGAACTTTGGTGAGCTCGCTCAACTTTTACCTGAATCATCCTTCACAGGGGTCCTACTCAGAATGTCTTTGAGGCAAAACCCAGCTTTACTCTACCCTGCTGGAAAACTTATCATATCATAAAATAACATTGTAAATATTCCTAATTGTATCGTTTAATTCTAATTATTTTCTTAAACTTCCTTTTTCTAAAAGATGTTTACATTTTGGTAGAGGAGAAGTAGGTGGGCAGGAGATCACACTCGTACTTTAGTAGATTTAAAGCATACTGAATTTGAATATTTAACCAAATCTTTATACGTAGCTTCTCTAAACTTCAACATCGCACAAGTCACTGTATTAAAAGGAAAATCAATGAGGGATAATGAATTTTACCTGCTTGCAACCCATTAGTATACTTACAGTAAAATAGAAGAACAATGATTTTCTTCTGCTGAATATCAATAATTTGGAACTATTTGAAATGAATAAACAATGATTATTCCTCTTCTTGACTGCCATGTGTATTTGTAAAAAAATAAAATAACCTGCTCTATCCAATGACACGGCCGTCATGAATACACAAATAATATTGAAAAAGTCCAATTCAAGTCATGAAACTGGCATTCATTTACATTTAATGTACTGAGCCGTGTTGGGTCTGGACCACTGCAGATGCTTCTGGATGCTGCAGAGGCCCAGCAGCCCGTTCTGTAGATGCCAATTGTGTCCTTGGAATTTGCAGCAGAGCATTAAATTATCCGCAATAACAGCTTTCATACTGCTGATTTACAGCTTACTGTATATCCATCTACTGCATCAAAAATATATCGGATGAACATGGCCGGGTCGATATTGTGATGATGCAGACCATTAATAATTTACACACACACACACACACACACACACACACACACACACACACACACACATATATATATATACAGTATATATATATATATATGGCTGACTACCTACCTGCATACTTGACCTCATCCTCTTGTCTGTCCTCCTGCAGAGCTTTCTTTCCGGGTGTGGATGTGCGGAGGAAGCCTGGAGATTCTTCCTTGCAGCCGCGTGGGTCACGTGTTCAGGAAACGGCACCCTTACGACTTCCCAGAAGGCAATGCTCTCACCTACATTAAGTGAGTGGGTTGACCTGTGAGACCTGTGAGGCCTGAACAGCCTGCAAAGAAACTCAGGGATTCAGCAACAAAAATGTATTATAATTATAGAACTTCATAGGTTGTTTTGCTCCATTTTATCTCATCATTTTTAACTACAGTTGGTTGTACAAATCACCAAAGTGTTTCTTAAAGGTCTATTTGTATTTAGTTTTTTATTGAGTAAGTAACCACAGTGAAATACAGAGCAAATAAATATCTCAACTATACAGTTATTATAAAATATGGGGCAAAAAAAGATTTGGATTTCCTGGATTAAAGGCTTAATGCTGTGTGTTTATTTCACTCTTTAGTTTTCTTTCCTCTCCATCTGAACACAGACAATATTTACCACCAATGTGCTGTACAGAATGTCAACTTCGGCTGTAAATACTATCGAGTTTTGTGTAATCTTGTCTAAAAGATACTGCTGCACGTTGGATTGGTCTGAAATACACCAAATTGTCTCCTTGGCCGGTTTGTCTTCACTTGCAAATACACAAAGAATTTAAGGAGGATGACATTCCTGATGGAGACGTGGGGCTTTCGTGGTGTCTGAACACCAATGTGTGTGTGACACTGTCATTAGAGCTGCCCCCAGGAATGCCAGCAGCACTGTCATTACTGTGTCTGAGCAGGTGTTGTGTGTCTGTGTCCGTGCAGGAACACCCGGCGTGCTGCCGAGGTGTGGATGGACGAGTATAAACAGTACTACTACTCTGCGAGGCCGTCAGCCCAGGGCAAGGCCTTTGGCAGGTTTGTCCGTTTTATTCTCTCCTTCTTCTCTCAACGGTTAGACACTCACTGATTTTGTCTTTATTGTATATTTCAGATTCCATGTTTTATGAATTCTTTAATGTTTCAGTCAGGCAATCAATGTGGTAAACAAGTTGTTCTACCCATGCTCATCATTTCCGATACAAACTATTTGTCGCCATACAAACTCTTGTGAAAGTAGAGCTAGTATGCAAGATCTCTGTATTTCACCATTTTCTTACATGCACTTTTTAAGGCTATTTGTATCTCGTGCTGAAACTTACAGTTATGTTCATTATAGATTCACTTTCTGATTATATTCTTGATTCATCACAGAATCATTTTGTCTATAAAATATCAGAAAATATAGAAAAAATGTGAAATTAATGAAAAATGACGAGTTCCCAGAGCCCACGGTGGTATCTTTGAATTTCCTGTTTTATCCAATCATAAACTATTTAGTTCACTGTCATATATGACAAAGTAAAGCAGCAAAGCCTCACATTTAAGAAGCTGGAACCAGAGAATGATGCAGTTTTTACTTGCAAAATTACTGAAACGATAAACTGATCAGCAAGATTGTAGCAAAATTAATTTTGTGTTGATTAATTAATAGATTATTGATCTAAACTATATTTGAATCAAAGAAACGCAAGCGAGCACTCAGTGCTGTGGTTGTTGATTACAACAGAATGCGCTCTTTGGTATTCGTGGAAAAGAGGTTCAACACAGTTAATAATTAGATCTCTGCATTAAGATCTCACTTTTTATCTTTACTCTCCATCCTTCCCTTTCCCGTTTTCTTCTCTCTGCTGTATCTCTCGTTCTGTTTGTCTCTGCATCCTCATGTGTTGTTGTTTTTTGTAGCATTGCAGACCGTCTGACTCTGCGGCGGAAGTTGAACTGCAAACCTTTCCGCTGGTACATGGAGAACGTCTATCCTGAGCTGAGGTACGACACATTTTAATCCAAATATAATTATTGAATGGAGGTGTATGGTATGACTGCAGGTTATCCTGGCATGCCTGACCTGTGGATACAATTGGTAGTACTTATTTTGAACTGTTATTTAACATCAACAAGGGCTCCAAACACCATTAAAAACCAAACAAATATAAAATACTTTTGTGTTTGTTTGTGTTTGTTTTGATTTGGGCTGAAATGAGATAAAAATGATTTAATTTCAGAACTAAAAAGCCATGTTTAGAGAAAGAAAAGACACATTGATAAATGCAGTCAAAATCTCTTCTTCCCGAGCACCTAAATTAGAAAAATATGCGAAAATCCTTGGAATTAATATGACACCACATTCAGAACCAATGATGTTAATACATCCAATTTGGATGGGAACATCTGAGTGGGGTATTAGAGTTGATCCCACCAGCTTGTTTCTTAAGCCGCTGCTAGTTGCTCCATGCCATGCTTCCAAATAACTGTGGTTTCTTGACTTGTAATTGTATATTTTCATAAGAGCGTGTTGTAATAGGGCACATTACCTAGCGGTGCGATCCAAATCCTCAATAGGGAAACCAGTCAATTCAATCCATCTGTTCTTTCTTGTCGTAATGAGACCTCTCATTGGCCTCTCCCTCTCCTCTCTCTCAATGGCTCCCTCAGGGTCCCCGAGCAGGAAGCGGTGTCCAGTGTGCTGAGACAAGGCGGTTTGTGTCTGGAGGCCCGTGGGACAGACACCCTCGGCCTGGCAGAGTGCCGGGGCATCGGAGGCATCAGGCCGCAGTCGCAGGTCAGGACTCTGACACTAGGGCGAGACTCTGGCTCGTACAATTAAAGTCTGAATTATTATCAGAAAGCGTGCAGTGGTTTGACCTGACAATGCTCAACAATGGATGCTTCGATTCGTACAAAGTTTAATGACTTATGTAATGGAGTAAATATTTATTCTGCGATTCCTCCTACAAATTAGCATAAACTATGGTAACGTCTATGGCGAAAATATGACAATTTTATCAACATATTAATGCCACAATCCTTCAGTCTTTAACCTTTGTAGACTATATATATATATATATATATATATATATATATATATATATATATATATA